GGCGGGGCGCAGCCGTGGGGGGGTGCGTGTCCCGGCGGATCCCCGTGATAACCGGCACAGTTACATTGTGAGCCCCCTGCGAGACCCCTCAGCCCCTGCTAAAGGAGCGGGCTGCTGGGTTTCCTTGGGAGCCCTCGGGGCATGCCCCGGGCCTGGCCGGGGCCTGGCAGGCCTGCCTCCCACCCCCGGGCAGGATTTAACCGTGAGCCGGGGCAGGACGTCTCCTCACGGCAGCTGTGCTGCTCCGGCAGCCGGGAACTCCTTATGGCCGCGCTTATGGCATCCTAGTCAATGTCAGGCGGTGTGAGGAAACGGACGGTGTTGTGTGGGCTGGGAGATTCCACCTGGGTCACAGAGGGGCTGCTGGTGGGCTTGGGGCCTGGCGGGCCATTCTCTCATGCTGCCTCTCCGCAGGAGGAATTCTGCGAGCTCGGCTGAGTCGTGCTCCTACAGAACCTGTATAAGCACAAATGGCCTGATGTGCAGTTTGGTTTCGAGCATTTCAAAATGATGCAGCTGTCAGTTCCCTTTGGCAGGAAAGGAGCCGAGCGTGGCGTGCTCATCTGTCCTGCGGAGAGCCCGAGCGTGTGAATGACCTCTCCTTATTAGTCTGTGTACGCAACTGTATCGGGCTGAAATGCAGAGGCTGCAGTAACCACGCAGAGTGGTTCTTTACATTGTGCTAGGTGCTGTACAACTGCCCTACATCCAGATAAGTGTGATGCTAAGGAGGGACGCAGATCAGGTGGGTTTGGGCTGACTTGACTTCTTAAAGTCAAGGACAGCAATGGTGCACTGCAAATAAGAGCCTTCTGCTTTAAAAAGGGATCAGCCAGCAAGATTTTTCTTCCAGCGTAAACAGGCCCTTTAATTTTTTTCTCTCATGAGGAAATGGAGGGTAAAAAGGAAACAAAAGCTTTATTTTCTTTTAGCTAATGTGAGAATGAATCACATACCTCCCTAGAAAAACACTCCTCCTGCTCCAACCCAAATCTGAAGACATTTATTTCTGTTCTGCAGCAGCTTTACTAAAGGGGTTTTCTTTTTGGTGTACTAAATGGCAGGTTTAGTATGCATGGCTGGTACATGTCTCACAGGACTGCCTTCAGTCTTCTTGGAGCTTCCATCCTGTGCTGCAACACAGACTGTACCTTTCCTCAGCTTCTTTACACAACCAGAGCTTTGATTTGACACTAAAATAATCTGGCGCTGCCAGGCTATCTGAAGAGAGACATCAAAATGTAAGCAGTGACAGCAGCCACCTATTTGCACTGCATATTTATATCCTGTAAAGGGAAAACTCTGTCACTTTCTTACAGTCTTCAGAAGAGGATCTGAGGACTTCCTTTTTTTACTGAGAGCAGGCAAATATTTCTGGCTCTAGAGCTGTTTATTATGCAAACTGCTTTAGTCACTGTTAGATTTTTAAATATAAACATAACAAAAAGGCTGTTTCAGACACCTCTCCTGTTGGAAGAGGTGTTTGCCCCTAGCTCACAAGAATGGGATGAAAGGGGGCTTTGCTCTGGGTTTGAGCCCCTCCTTGCTGCCATTCGGGGGTGCGGAGCCTGTGTCCGCCGACGCGGGACAGCCTGGGAGCGGTCTGGCACCTCCATCTTTCAGCATTAGAAATTCCTAAACGGCCTTTCTTTGAAGCAGCAATTTCACTTTAAATCTTGCATATCTCTGACTCCCCAAGAAGCCTTGCTCAGGTAGCTGCATGCTACCACAAGAGAGGGACCTGCTGCAACCCCCACCATGCTGCAGCTGCAGCTGCAGCCAGCACCGTTCAGAGGAAAGGATCACTGCCTTCTTCTAACAGTTGCCATCTTCGCAGGCATTTGCAAGCGCTCGTCTGGTTGCAAAAGGGAGCCTCCAGACTGGCACGAGAGGCTCACTGCTGCGCTGTCTGCTGACAGCCAGATAGGAGAGCTCTGAATGTAAAGGAGCTGCCCAGTTTGTTAGCTCAGGTCCACTTCCATGGCAGCGGTGCCAGATCTATTAGTGACAAGCAAAACCTTGTGCCACAGCTGTGAAATACCACTCATATGATGAAGGAAACCTCTGGCTGAGACATCGATACCTAAACCAGGCAGAAGTGTTTCCCAAGGATCAGTTCCCATCCACTACATTTTGTCTGCAGTCTCCCATAGGGTTAGCTTGGGGCCTGAGTGGAGCCTGCAAGGAGCCGCTGCAATGCTGTTAGATCCCAAGAGGCAGGGAGATACAGAACTTGCTCAAAAGCACATTAAACTGTAACACCTGTGTGGCCACATCTGTTGCAACAAGCTGCATGATAAAAAACCCATCTGATCTCACAGGACCCCCTCCAAACCTATAACCTGCAGCATCACAATCCAGGAGTCTGCACCTCCCTCCTACCCTTCGAAGCTTGCATCCTTTGTTGCTGGGGAGGCTCTCTCAAAGGAAGGGAAAGGCCCATATGGGACATGCTGCTGTACAACCAGCCCTTTCAACGACAGAGGCTGGCAGTGAAGTGGTTAACACGCCTGGACCTGCTTCCCTAGCAAGGCTGTGCACACCCCATCAAGATGAATTGGGGAAGTTCACACCTCTGAGTGCTGTTGTCTGTCTCTCCAGGGCTCCCTGGGACTGCAGTAGATCACCATCAGGTTAATGTAGCCTAGGTGATTGCTTGCAAAAAGAAACGGCCGGAAACTACATGTTTAAATTAAATCATAAATCGTCCTGGATATAAAACCTGTAGGAAACCCTCCAATTCTTGATCCTGGTGGATTGTGAGATTTGATTTATTTAGTGTACTCAGGGCTTCTTGCTGTGCTCAGGGTGCTTGTTTTGGGAGAGGGAGGTGGGTGCCTTTTTCCTAACCAGCTTTGCAGTCTGGTGTCAGGATAGGATCCTACACCTTGCTCTAGCCTTAGTCCCCACTCTTATGCATGGACGAGATCTGTAAACGTGGGAAATCCCCTTGCCAGACAAGGCTTGTGGCTGCACGGTGCCTGCAGGGTGGCTTCAGCCTCCGCTTCTGCGCTCCTTCTTTCTGGATGCTGGAGCAGAGAGTTCAGGAGGGCAACAGCTTCCACAGACCTGCCTCCCTCATGCAGCAGTTGGACCAATGGCTCTCAGGTATCTCTGCAAAGGCTTTGTCAAAGGTGACCCCAAAGGTTGGACAGTGCTCCGTGCAGCAGAAGGACTCCTGCCTTCCCTGAACATCGGAGCCAGCATGGACTCCATGGGGTCGTGATGCCCAGGCCAAAACAAGGCGGTGCTGTCCCAGGCCTAAGAAGCTGAAGGTAAATACAAAAGTGAGGCTCTAGGACCAACACAGGACATGAAACTTACACATCCAAACCCCGAAGCCCTCCATAGCCCTCTTTCCAAGCCACTGCCTTGATTTTAGCCTCAGGTGAACCCATCTATATTGTGTTCCTTCAGTTAATTCTCTTTTATATTCAACTTTATTATACGATGCATTTCAAGTTTGAAAGTCAAACAGATCTGGTAATTAAATACATCTGTATCTTGATATTTTTGATTACAATATCAAAAGTTCACGTCTTTGACCCTCTTTCAGAGTGCAAGAGAAAGAACATGCTGAATGGTGTCAACTTGTCCAATTTTATTAGCAGTCCCATATATGCAAGTTCACTTGTTTTGTTTTCCTTGATGTTATTTCTTAAGAATCTCTACTTTTGTTAGAAGCAGCAGCAAGTTTCTAGTACTTATGTTTTAGGGAAAAAAACCCCCAAAACTTCTGAATATGAAACAAGTGCATTCTGCTAATGAAGAGGTAACAAAAGACCAGTTACAAAACAGATTTAAATGCAAAAAAATCTCATTTTTAAAAGCCTGTCATGATTTTTGAGTCTTAGCTTATTTGTAAAAGCTATGGTTTGGATACTTATATTGCTAGTCTACAATTTTTCACAGCCAGAGAGACCTGCCTGATGTGCAGGATTCCCAATTGGTGTAATCCTGTAAACCTGCTGTCACTAGAACAAAGTGACACTTGTACAATAGCAACAGTCAGATACATGCTCCCCTCTCATTTTTCATTAGGATAACCTGCTCAAAATACTCATACCTATTACATACTGTCGAATGTATTGAAACTAAATGATCTCAGTGCTTTGAAAGCTCTTTATTTTCCACTTTAATAAACTGCAGCAATTATTCACAGTTTTATATGTAAGACGGGGGAGCAAATTAAGCAGAACCAGCAGATACCGTTGTAAGTGGGAGCTTTCAAAGGTCAGTCTTAATTACTGAGTTTCACCTGGGACAGAAGCAGCTTGCAGAAGTCCTGGGAAATTATGAGTTAGAAAACAATAGCTGATATCACTTGAACTTTATTATGTCCTCATTTGCCACGGTTAAGAGAGCCACAAGTGGTAGAAAGGTTGGTATAATAGAAAGAAGAACATTTGGATCATAATCTAAAGAGTATGTAGCAGTGTTTTCTCATGGTGCGAGCTAACATACACAAACCCATATACATCTGCTGTGATGGTTTGTGGCTGCTGTATGACCGTTGCCCAATGCTGAATGTAGTTGGG